CTTTGTTGCACTGTATAGAGGAAGGTCTAGAACTCCAGTCAGCCATTGAGCGAAGATCGACTGCGTCTACTCGTTTGAATGGCAAGCGCGCTCGCCCATTGCACGCCACTAATCCTTTAGTAGAACTACCATTTGATCCGGTATCTGGCGATCAATAAACCCACAGTGAAGGAGCATCTCTTTCTTTTTATGGTCTCTCTTGGTTGGCTTACGAAACCCGCACCGCGCTGCAAGAAATTCGGTGAGATGATCTGCCATCTTTTTGACTAATTCTATACCATATCCGGTATTGCAGACATTCCCGACGAAGAGCCAGTGCTCTTGGCAGTGGCCAAACTCTAGTGCAAGCGAATGTGGGGATCGATTAACATTTTCAACGACTATATGAAATGTCTTCACCTTCCTGTCCTTTAATATTTTGGAACACTGAGCAGTGGAACCTGCGCACAATGTCATGTAGAGTTCTTGAAAATCTATATACATCGAGAAGAATTGGTCTAGAAACTTTAATTTTTGAACTATAACCATTTCGAAGCACGTGGCATGTTCTACCAATGACAAGTGTGGGATATTGCAGTGTTTTCGAAACCCCATTTTGACAGACGTGAGGGTTTCATTTTGCAGCCACAAGGGCATGCGCACCTCCATATTGACCATTAGAAATCCTAAAGTGCGGTTGCTGCACGTCGTATTCTGCAGCAACCGGGCTTTGGGACTGCCAATGTGCTGCACCATACAGCGCTCAGCACATTGGCAGTGTTTCAAGAAGTAACCGGCAAGAAAAAAAAAAGACAGACAATTTCACTTCTTGATTTCTTAAAAAAATACGACAGTTATACGCTTTCAAGGTATACCTCGCAGGACACCCGAGGTGTCCTGTGTTTCCTGGAGAGATTCCTGGCTAAACCGGCCACGCGGTTATACGGAGTTTCACGCAGCCGATAATGACGCTAGTTATAGCGCGAGAACAAAACGATGACACAGAGAGAAGGACACGAAAGACACGAAAGTCCTTCTTGTCTCTGTGTCGTCGTTTTGTTCTCGCGCTATAACTATCGTCATGCCATACCAACTAGTCCAAGCTGCTACACTTCTAAGCCACATTTCACGCAGCGTCGCGCTAAATGAAACGCGTGTGAGAGCTGGCTTCTCGGTCCGAGAAAAAAAAAAGAAAACTATAGCGTCAAGTCATCTGACTTTGCCGCCGACCCGCTTACTCGGCGGCGTCCATTCATAGTGTCACGTTCGCAACAAAACGCCGCACGTAGGCCCACGCTCTACAAGGCACGATAGACTGCCGCAAAAGAACAGATGCCGGCAAACGTAGATATAACTTGCACGTGCAACTCCAAACAAGTGGTCGTACCGCGCGACGTGCTTCTTCGCGAAAAGCGGGCGCGCTCACGCGATGAACAGCACGAAGCTGCGGACATGAGGCGCGCCCGGAAACGCTGCTCTGTCGCCACAGTCGTTTCGGCGCGTCGTTGTCTCTAGCGAGAGAAAACGGTCTTCACGCAGGCACAAAAACACGCGCATACCCCCACCTCTCCCCCACCCGTCATTTTCCCGGACCCTCATTTCGTATTCCTAAAGGCGCGCCCGGGAGCTGCTACAACACGTGCACAACTAAACCCCCTCTCGTTCCCTCTTAGACCTCAGCCATTCCACGCTTTCCGGACTTGTGTCTCTTTTGTTGTTGAGCGTTTAACGTGTTCGTTGGCCCCGAGCGAAACGCCGCTTTCGTCCCGTTTGTGCGCCGACGTGTGGGCCGCACCACCTACCACAGTGCCGCACAAGACGACGTGGACCTGCAACCCGTCTCGAGTTGTCCACGTCACTTGGCGGTATCTTAAGTGCAATCGCGGTCTTGCACGCGCGTTGGTCGGTCGGTCGGTCTCTCGCGCTCCCCACCATCTCCGTCCCGCGCGTTTTGCACGTGGCGCGAAATTGCCGCAGGTGTGCACGCATGCAGGCCGCGTCTTTCCTGACGCCTTGCACGCGAGGCAAGCACCGCTGTCTCTTGCCTGTGGTTGGCTTGGGGGCGTCGTTGGCGAATACAGGACGTGCTGTGAGAAGGTTTGCACAAAAGGGCCGGAAGGAGATATGGTCGATGGTTCTCGGTATTTCATGTGCGCACACAAACACGCAAGTACACAGAGAAAAATGCTGAGTGAGCAGGCTGACGATTTGCCTACACCTTTCAGAAGAATTAGGAGAAAAGGGAAAGTATAATAACACTAGAACAAATTGTATAAGCGTGCAAGAGAACCTTTAATAAAGCGTAGCCAGATCAGTTCATAAACGCCATTAGAAATCAGTCGTCATGGTCACGTCAAGCGTATGTTAGCTAGACTTCGTCACGATGCTAGGTGCGCGGTAGTTTCGATTTCGAGGGCCCGCGAGGTAACTGTAGCTCTTAGGGATGACATCGGGGGAAGAACGTTTCATGGTCGAACTTCAGCATGGTTCCGCAGCGAAATTTGTGTAACTACATCACGAAGATACAAAAAACCAGTTATTGGGGCATTAATTGGCATGCAGTGGCCGCTTAAGAAGGCACTTAAGTATTCGATTTCATGGTGAAATTAATTACCCCAACTAGTGTGATGTGTACCTGTTCTATTGGTGGCTGATTTCTTTAGTTTGCGTTGTTTAGTGTTTTTCTTTCATTTAAAAATATAATTTCGGCACACTCACTTGTCATTTCCCTACTTTACTCTAAGTTCCAGTATCTAGATTTTCAGTACGCAGTTGGCGCTTGTGTATAGTCTAATTATTTTCTCTTGTGTCTGTGTTTGCACATTCCTCTTTCGCAAAAGATCTCCACCAACAAGCTCTATTTTGTTGAAAGCTCGAACACCCACATGAAACTCTGTAATAAATATGTTTAATGAAAAGAAGTGGGTGTCCTGCAGACAAATTACTCCATGGTGATGCCATCACGGCAGATTGTGAAAGTCATAAATTAGCCTCGATCCTCACAAAAGTGATTTATAAGTTGTGACCATGCAGGAAAAAAAAAAAGGGATTGGGCGCGCGAAGGAAAGGTTGACTTCATTAATTGTCTATTCAGTCATGCACGCCTAAAAAATGTGGAACCCGCTTGAAAAATGCAAAATCTTTCAATAAACTTTCCCGCCACTGAATGAGCGTTGGAACGTGTGGTCGGAGAAGGTCGGATGACTAAACACATGTCGAACTTCACCACCCCTTCTTTGCTACGACTTCAATGTTTCTGTGAACATTATAACACATCAAGTAAACGTGTTTCTAACAGACGAATGCTATTCCCTGCACTCGATTACTTACTGCCATAAGAAACTGGTTACTATACGACACCGGTTTTCTCCGGAGGTGCGAATGTTGCATAATTAAATATCACGACTTCAAAAAGTTTGCTTTATTGACGTTCATCACGTTCTTATAATTGAACGACTGGATCTCCATTCGCACATCGGTCGATTGATGGGCATGTTAACCAACCAATCGGAACTTGTTCATGGTCGTTGGCTCTTGCTGTATACGCAATCTCCCGCTTTTTGTGCAATTTTAGCGGCTATTATGTCATACAGTCGCCTGAGGTCCACGTCAGCGACCAGCCACGTAAACTGTCGGTATAGGCTAGCGCTTTTCTGTTGACGTTGTTCAACGTTTAACGCACACTGAATTACCAGCGTGCTTCTGCGAATACACACCACGTACAGCGTCACGGAAGCGTCCATTGAAAATTATCCGAGCCGCCGCTCGAGTGGCTCTAGTTGTTACCGAGCCATACTGCAGTGTTCCCTTGAATCAACTGGAGCCCTGGAGTAGTGCTTTTCCTGTCAAACTCAAGGCCCTCGAATGCAGTGACAGCTCCACAGGGGCGTCAGGACGCCGGCAGGTCCATGCAGCTGTGGCAATCATCGCATGCACCATGCTTCACCCTGTTATACTGACAGCGAGTAAACGATGAGCACGTGCACTCAGAAGGGCGGCTTATTCGTGCAAGCTCGAGCCAATACATCAGCGCCTGGCGTGATGCAGAGTGTGTCTTTCTGTGCCTTCTTCAACGTTTCACATTAACGCCGTATGCCTAAGACTAAGCACATATACAGTAGGCGCTTTATTGTACGCCAATAAGCATCGGCCGGGAGTATCACGTTACTGTGACGCAATTGGTTGATTATAGGTCACCCCCTCCAGAAGGATCTTATCACGCCCGCACCCTTGCGCGCACCGACAATGTTAAACCCTTAAGCTTCCGCCGACAGCCGTTAGCCCCTTGTAGAACAATTGGCCCTGGTCTCGTCAATGCTTGTGTCATGGAAATAAATCAAGTGTTCCTTCTTCTAATGTCTATCTTCGCGAGTGTGTGGGCAAAACGCTGAGCATTAAAGCACTTTTTTACGCTGGAATTCGCGGTGCTATTGTGTGTGTGCCGTTCTCCTGTGTACCCAACATTTAGCGTGTTTTGTTACAGATATAACTCTTTAGTTAAGGCAGTCACTCGCCGAGCACACGAACTGTGGTTAATTATTCGTACGAACAGCCAACTGAGAAGGAGTAGCTGCTGCCAGCAAACGGCGTAAATATATAGTCCATAAAAATACACAAATAAAGTACAGAAGTAATGTTGGAACGGAAATAAAGCGCAATAAATAGTTGCTATCAACACTTCGGTTGTCGCCATTGTCCTGTAAAAAGCACTGGCCCAGCCAGGAAGCGGGGAATTCAACCCCCTGCAGTTTTGATTCAGTTTCGCAGACGCACACATATGCACGTAAGAATATACATGATTTATCCTTGTTTCCCCTTCCCCATCTGATGAAAATTTTCGTCTATATCACAATAAACCCAAAAATCTGTGTTGAACCAAACACTGTAGCATATGCTTTGCTGAGGAATTCGCTTACTAGTGCAACGTTTATAAACTTCATTCAAATTCACAAGATATCTGATAAGAGTGACCGTCTTCCAGATACGCTTTCGATAAAGCAGGCTATCAATGGCTGACTTACCGACATGTCGAGAGCGTCCCAGAGACCGGTGAATACTCCAACGTACTACGCCCATCGCACGGAACGAAGAAGTCAGCAAATCACCGATGCTTGCGTATCCGGGAGAATAAAACAAAAGAAAACAAGTAGATCAACACGTCGTGGCAAACCAGTAACCAGTGGAATCACAGCGCGTATCCAATCAAGAAGCCGGTTCCTCCATTAAACGCAGTCGACATGGAGAACACGCACGTGAACACTTTGTTTCATGATCAGGAGCCCAGGCACCCCATAACGGTGATAGCGAATTTATTCAGACCGTGCTGGTTCCCCTCGGTGCTTCGAGATGTCAGAGAAGTAGATAAATGATGGCAGTCCTTCCTTATTCCTGGTTTGGGCACGGCACTGTGCAGGTCAGTGCAGCTCGACACCGGTGCTCTTGGCTAGGCACGTTAACTTGCGGAGTTACCCTCGCGCTCGCGTTGGCCAGTTCGGTGTCACTCGCCGATTAAGAGCATCCTTCAGGGACGAAGAACCACGGCCGGGTCACGGGATTTGTCGATGACGTCAACCGGCTCCTTTTCTGACCATGCGGTGGCTCTCACTGCTCTTCCGGCAGAGGACGTCACGCAGACCTTTGGATCGTCCAAGAGGGACCTCCTGAGCTGCGGGGTCCAGAGGCAGGAGACTTCGACAGACGCCTCACCGTGACGATGACAGGTCAACGCAGAAAGCGACGCTACCCAACAGCGCTTTTCTTTGCGTCGTCGCGACACCCACTCTCGGCGTCCTCTGCGCAGAAGGGACAGCCGGACTCGGTCGTTGATTGGCGTCACGCGGGGGCCCCGAGAGACGCCTCCTGAAGCCCGCGGAGTGGAACGGCAGCTCCAGAAGCCACGAGGAGGCGAGCCAGCAATCGAGCGGCGGCGGCAGTGCAAGCAGCTTTCACGTCGACCCGTGCCCCAAAGTCACCCTGCCTACCTGCTTGCCGTGGTGTCTCGCTTGCCTTCTCACCGGAGTAAGCGAGGGCGAAGCGTCCCCACGTGACGTCACGTGACGTGAGAGAGGATGTCAGCCTACCTATCTACCAACCTGCCTGCTGCCGCTTGCCGCTGCCGTGTTTCTGGAGTGCATGTTTCGCTTTGCATTTGGCTGCCTTATTTCCAGGCCTGCCAGCATCAGCGGTGGGGGGACTCGCTCGGCTCTCGCCCCCCTCCCTGCGGCGTCCACCCTCCTCGACTCCTTTTCCGCAGCAGCTCGAAGGCGGCGGCAGCCACGCCATTCCGCTGTGTATACCTCTTGTGGCCTCCCCGTACTGCCGGCTGCAGGAGCATTCTCGGTCGTGCGATTATTATTATTGATAGGCGAAGGGCGAGAGAGAAAAGATCTGGAGGAGGAGGAGGAGACGCTGAGCTGCAGAGGTGCTCCTGCTGCCTTTTGTGACTCTCTCCCCCTTGCCGCCGTCCATCGGCGGCATTCAGGATCCTGGGATTCCTGCCTAGGTGTAACATATTTGCGTTTGTTTCCTTTTCCCTTAGAAGGAAGGTAGCTGCTGTTTTAAAAAGAGCGTCAGGACGAACGTCGGAGGGCCTGGTGAGACCTTATACATACTCGACTCGAACGCGATAATCGCTTCTTCTGCAGCTCTCCGCAGAGCATTCCACTTCTGCCAGCGCATCCACGCTGTGAAAGTGGGTAAAGAAGCACAGATAAATTAATTAGATTTTTCAGATTGGTTCATGATCACAGAACCCGCGACAAGAAAAGAGACAGGCCCTTTGGTTACCAGAAGCTAATTACTCGTCCGGATCCCATAGAATTCACTTTTCGACATGGCACACTTCGCCTTGTCTCGGGGAGTCCAGCTGCTGGCCTTGGGACTCATGTGACAAATCCTGACATGTTTCAGTTGTCTGGAAGAAATAAAAACTACCTTATTACTCAAAAATACAAGCATGAAGACTTTAAACGTATACACGCGCAATGCCGAAGCAGCACGTGACATCGTCAGACGTCCATCACATGGACGCGTGCTCGTATCGTTTCCGAGCAGCTGGCGTCCCCTTCTGCTCGAAGTTAATTTAGCAGTTCTGACCTTTAGAATTTTGTCCCGACAGCGGAGGCAGATGATACAAGTATAAGAACATGGGAGGAATATTACACCTCATCCATCAGTCGACGGTATCACCAATCTAAACTGTATTGCTCTGGTTAGCCTCTGTGAAGTCTAGCTCATCGAATTAGTTCGCAACTTTCTGCGAAGTGAGAGCTGTACGTAGGCTGGTCATAAATCAAAGCAACCCCGTTATTGTGGTTTACAGCATAATAATTCGAACGCCTTTTTCAGAGAGTAATGCGGTAAACTAGCAAACCTCATTGGTGTTCACCTTTACCCTTCTCTTACTTCGTTGCAATTTTCATCGTATTGTGTATTGCGAAATCTTAAGTGGTGAGACGGCACCTGCACATCTAGTGCAGATTCCGCCTCATTGCGCGAAAGAATTAGTTTGCCATGCATTTTGCCTGGTACTGCATATTGGTTCAAATGCTAGATTGAGAAGAGGGGCCATAAGAATGATTGAGGGTTGCTTCTGTGACATGTTGGCATAAGTGAAACTCCTCGAGATGTCTGCAAACATGGACGCAAATTAAGAAGGCAGCAGCGTTTGTGTTGTAATGTTATGTTGTTCACCATTGTCGGTGTTTGCTGGTATTACCGTCTTCCGAGTGCTTCCAATTTTCACCTCGCTCTACTATGTTGATATGGCCAGTCCTTTCTCTCTTTCGCTCTCTTCACTCTGTTTCTGGTGGTCTTCCATCATCGTTGATTGTGTACAGGTTGTACTTGGCCAGGTTAGCATTCTTGTCTTTCCCACTCTTTTCCCTCCTGGTTTACAGTTTTGCTGAAGATCGTACGACGAGCTACACAAGTGGAACATGTGTAAGGTTAATAGATATGCAAATATGGCAGCATATACTGGTAATATACATCAAATACCAGTACGTGATAGTCTAGTAAGAGATCGAGGTAAAGGATCGATGTTTAGCGTGTCACGTAACGTTTTATAAACAGACGCTCAGTTATAAAGTAACAGAACGGGTTACTCCCAGGTAAGGTAATCGCAAGAGGGGTAGTGGCGTATATTTATTGGAGAGAGGAGGTCAGAAAGAAATTTGTCAGCCGGGAACACGAGAACGGACGCTTCACGTAAAGTGTGTGCAGTTTAGTATGTGTAGTTAGGGCTCTCCGGAAAGAGTTTGGATCAAATTAGGCTGGATGATGATGGATACGTTGGCCTAACAACGTCGGTCGGGGTGTCCGCCTCTTGTTTCTCAGCAAGGAGGAATAAAAAAAAACTGCTGGAGTGGAATTGATTGCCCAGAAGTGAAGCCGTGCCTCTGGCAAGATGGCGTCTTAATGTCAATTCTTGTCTAGTTGTTACGGCATTGCAATGTAGTTGCGCTGAGCGATATGCACAAGAGGACGACAGGACTCGTAGTGGTGAACATCTCATTGTAACGTTGCCCTCGTTATCTTCAATGTCTTCGTGTATATCTTTGGCGTGCTTTTGCGAAAATGAATAGTTGAAAGTCTGCGCACCGCCTGTCCTGTCCTCTTGTTTCGTTCAACTCGTTTGTGCATTTCGCTCAGCACAACTACATCGCAATGTATTGCAAGTCTTTTGCGCTTTAACCGACTTTGCGTTGCCTCCGCCATCGGACCACCTTTGACCGAGCGATGGTGTCGTGCAATGACGTCTTCATTCTACATCATGATAATGTCACAAAATTTTGCGATCTGTCACGTCATATGGTGACGTCGCCAGATGGTGCTTTTTTTTTTGCATCACATTGCATCACATGATGTTGACGTTTACGCCACCGCAGGATGCCAACGCTGACGGTTAATCTTCGCGTCCGATCAGTCATTAAAGGCTTTCGCCTTAGTAATTTGCCCTTTTCAGCCTGAAACTTATTGTGAGCTATCGTTAAAAATAAAAAAAGAATGACAAAAGATATGTTAAAAATTGGCGAGGGTTATATTATCTCCAGCAAAAATATCTGGTACTTGCATGTTCATCAGGCAACGTATCGATCGAGGCAGGAGAGACAACTGCTACAGCATATCTGCATATTACTGTACCTCCTGCATATCTTAGAGGAATGGAAGTACCCTACTTGACGAGACCATGGCTTCGGGAGCTCAACATGCTACGTCAACCCTTCTTCGTCTATCTAGCTATTTTATCGAGTCACTGTTCATACCATCGCACCACCATTATATTAGGCATGCGTTTACTTACGAAACAACGCATCTGCGGTTGTATAGCTAGCATTTTATTTTGTCCACTCAGTGACGTAGTATACTCTCTTTATCAACCCATTTATTCTCATTTTTCTTCCCCACTCCCTTTTTTTTCAGTGCTAGAAGAATGACTTCATTGAAAGTTATGCTGATATTCTTTTCTAGGTGTCGGCTATGAGCCCTCAATTGAGCTCCGACGGCTTCCTTTATACCCTGCTGAAGAGGTCAGAGATGGTCTTTCGAGGGTGGAGCTATATAAGTCAGATTCAAAAATTAACTTTATTTTTTTTTTGACATAGTAATCAGAAAATAATGAATGTGAGACTGGCTTGGTCCTTTTTCAAGGCAGTTAGAGCACAGCACGTTCAGCAAACTCTGCGCCGGACATCGTTTCTGGGGCCGGTTCTTTAGCAATAGGCCGCCATTTAGTGCGAGTCCATTTTCCTTGTTTGGCCTTCGTCATCCAGATGAGCTGCCAAGGAGAAAGACTGACCGACGTAGTTTATCCCCTTATACGTCATCATCAATCTCATTAGGCAACCTAAGAGACGGAAACGTTTCTCGGAGATCTGCTATACTACACATTCCTCCTATGCGCCACGGCCACCTTATGTGATCCACCACAGTTGACACAAACTCGCTTCTAGCTCCATCTTTCCATATCACTTCCCACACGTCCCTAAACTGCATTAATCGTCACTTGACAGCCATTCAGTGAGGCTATTTTTCTATTCAATGTCTATAGTATACTACGTGAGGCCCCTATGTTCAGGCCTTTCTCACCACCTGTCACTAATCGATGTTTCCTGTGGAATGTATGTATCTGTCTATGCATTAACCCTATATCTTTTTCTTTCGTCGGCGCAGCATGCTATGTCTTTACCTGTCGTGGCGACGCAGCAGGTTGCAGTTCTCGCAACTAGTATACGAAGACAATGGTTTGATTTCTGGCTATGGTGAGCGCATTTTATCGGAATATGGAACTACCTTAACTGATGTTACGCTAGATCACGAGTACAACTTCTTTGGCTCCCGACATGGTGGATATAGTGGTTATGGGGCTTGGCTTTTGGCCTGTAGGTCGTGCGATCGGGTCCCAGGACACAGCGGCCCCATTCCGATGTAAGCGAAGTAGGCTCTTGTGCTAGAACCCAGAACACCGGGAAGCCGATATTTCTTGTGCCCTCCAAAACGCCGTGTCTTATAGTCATGTGGATCTCGAAAGGTGAAACTTCCACAATTAATCTGTTACAATATCCGTGGCCCTTCATTGCATTGGTGTTCGTACCAGTGTAAACGCATGCAGGCGTATACACAACAGCCCTATAGTACTCCGAATAAAAGAAGTCATCGTTTCCTTGAAAACACTTTCCTCTTCGTCACACTTCATTGATCGCGGTTTCCAGAAGCCATTGTTGCGGTTAAGCGAACAAACCTCGAGGCCTACATTCCTTTCATAGATTCAGCTTACGTAACAGAAAAAAAAAATGAGACACGAATTGAGCGTCAAGCGTTGGGGCGTGTTTATGAGTGCGGATGAAGTACAGGTGTGTAAGAGAAGAAAGCTTGCAGTTTTTTGTTGGTTCGTATGGTCCTGTCATCGGTTTTTTTCGTGGACGAGAAGTTTTTTGGGGCGGAACATTACGACGAAGTGTGCGCGTTTTGTCCAAAATCAGGCACG